AACTTAGTGGAGAAAAGAAAGACCTATTTAGTTAGGGCATCAAGACATTGGATTAAGTTATTTTTACAAGAGAATAAAATTAGTTTTCATCTCAATCAGTAAATAAAAAATTCCAGATAAATTAAAGATGTACATTTAAAAAATAAAACTATAAAAATATTGTTTAAATGTAAATGAGGATCTTAGGAGAAAACATGGGAAAATATTCAAGTGGTTGGAAAGATCTGAGTAAGGTAAGAAAGCAAAATTTCACAGAAAGTAGCATTGCAAGATGCAATGATGTAAAAATAAAGTCAGGATAAATAAAAATTCTAGGAGAAAAAATTATAAAACATTTAATAGACAAAAGGTTAATATTCTTATAAATACCAAAAGCTGGCATAAGTGGAAAAGGAAAATTTTTGAAATATGCAAAGAACCAAAATAGGCAATTCAATACAAGAAAAACAGATGACCAATATACATGTGAATAGATGCTCAGCCTTACAAAATTTTTAAAAATGAAAATCAGTATCATATTGAAATATCATATCAGATCGAAAAATATAAGGAAAACAATTAGCCTCCAGTACTGGTGGCAATTAACTTAGTATAGACATTTTAGAAAGTAATTTGACAGTAGCTATTAAGAACTGTGATGGTTCAAATCTTTTAATCCAACAATTTTATTTTTGGCACCTACCTACTGAAATTACAGCATGAGAACATATAGATGCATATCTATATGGATATTCATTGTTACATTGCTGCAAAAGCAAAATAAATTGTTACAACTTCTATATTCATCAATACAATAATAAATAACTCATGGTACATGCATTACAATGGAATGTTTTATTTTTATTAAAAATTTTAAAAAGCATTGACTATGGCATATAGTTAAGTTTTTAAAAAGCAAGTTGAAGCTTTAAATATATAAGATAATTATTTTTTTCTGCCTGTGTATCAGGACACTTTACATTATAACTAACAGAAAATCCAACTCCATATGGGCTTGAACCCAAAGAATGCTCTTTGCCCTGTAATTGAAAGATATGTTTTTAGTATTAGGTTTATCTAAAGATTCAAGACATTATCAGGAGCTCTATTTCTTTATAACTCTCTCAGCCTTCTAGGTATTGACTCTCCTAAAATCAGAACTAAGGTGAGATGAGTGAGGCACTTACCTTGGGTGCAAAATTTAAGTGGGTGCCAAAAAAACACAATAATCAAGATAAAGAATATTTTAATAAAGTTTTCTTTAAAATAAAAAGTAATGCCAAAAATTCATGATGAACAATATATCAAAATTTTAAATAAAGATAGAATCTGACAGTGGTATACTAAGCCATCATTTGAAGCCTGAGGTAAAGGGGAACAAAAGAGAGGCCCTGTATATGTTTTTATGTATTTTAATAACTAAATTTTTCAAAATTTTATTTTGAAAATATTATTGATGAGTTTCTTCCATTAAATCCAATAAAATTAAAATAAATTCCGATTTTAATACAAGTAAAATATTTAAACTTAATCTAATGTTGTAAATTTTAATATACCTACTCTTCAATATTTTTAAACTACTTTAATATTTAAGAAAAAAATTACCCCTAGTCCTAGCTCTGCATGGCAGAAACGTCTGCAACAGTTCAAAGTATCAAGATGTATACATTAGATTGTTTGTACTTACACTACACTACCCAGAGGACCTGAGAAAATCTTGCCTAAATCAACAGCTTATTGGATATATTCCAGGAAAAATCTAAAAGTTCAGGAACCAAACATTTATTCCCTCGCCCAGAAACTTACCCCAGTTAAAGAAGTTCTTCTCCAACATGAGAAAAAAAGTTGCCAGATGCACACTCTGGAGTGAAATGGGACGGTATTTGTATCTCATCCTCAGGAATCCTTTGGGTAAGGATACAGCTTCTACCCCATTATATCTTAGGAAGTGTCTAGTTTAATTAGACAGAAGCAGACCCACCAGAACTAGTCCCCAGGGACTCCAGGGATCAATGCCTCAAGAACCAGTGCAACTGGGTAATCTGTCCTTCCTGCAACACTCCATACATATTACATCTCCTAGTGACTCCATATCTCTAACATGTGAATACAGATTAGATTAGTTGCTGCTAATTAATACATAGAATATTAAAGCCCAGTTCATACCTGCTAGATCTCAATGTACATAGAAACATGTGGAGAGATAAAAGAAATAGTAGACCAGAAGGAGTCAGGTGATTAGGGAAGGGGTGTGTGTGTGTGTGTGTGTGTGTGTGTGTGTGTGTGTAAGTGATTTTCAGTTATAAAATTTGATAATATTTAATAATAAATGGTCCAAAGGTCAACCACTTCACTAACATTTCAATCCATAAATATACATATGGATACCCTGTGCTAGATATTGGAACTATAATGATAAGTAAGACATATTCTCTGCCCTCACAGAACTCAAGTTCTGGTAGTTTTATAAACATGTTACTATTCAGTTGAGACCATAACTGGCATTGCTGTGGACCCAAAGAATAAGGTGATTACCTCTGACTTGGGAGGATTGTGAAGACTTCAAAGAGGAATTAACATTAGAATTCTACCATTTGCCAGATGTGTGATCTTGACTACTTATTCTCTCTGAGCCTTGGTTATCCCTGTCTGTTAAATAGAGCACTATTCAATGAGGTTGTTTGAGGATTAAATGGGATGTTTCAGCAGAGCAGTTAACACGGTTTCTACAAAGAATAATCTCTTATTAAACATAAGTTGTTATTGTGATTTTTGTTATTATATTATGGTGTGTTTTGAGATAGTGATGGAAAAGTAATTTAGGGTCAGATTATTAAATTAATGCATATTTTTGAATTTACTCTGTAGTCCTTTAATTCCCAAACTTTTTCTAATGGAACACTAGATTATTCTAGAGATGTAAATTGGTATGCTATCAACCAAAATTATAGAGACAGGGATACAGATATCTATAATCACAGAAGTGTAGGAAATGCTGTAAACTCTAACCTTCTCTTGAACAGCCATAGCATGATTCACATGTCGGTATTTTCCACACTTATTTGACCACAGAACTTTTTAATAAAACAGACATTGATATCTGATAGCTACCTCTACAGAATATTCTGTGGAAAACTCTCTATAAGTAATAAAAAATCCTCCAAAGTATTTGACAGAAAGTAGGTTGACCAGTTCTGCCTTTTAGAATGTTTAACTTGGAGTCACTTTATAATTTAGGTGAAAACATAAAAGATTGAAAACATTGAAATCAGCTGAGAAATGAATGCAATATCTGATGTGAAAGATGAAAAAGGTCATATGATTGGTAAAGGCAGTGTCAAAAGGAAGACTAACAGTATTGATAACTCAATAACAATAAAATATTTCTCAAATTCTATTAACTAAGAATTATGTTAAGTGCTCTCTCTGGCACTATATATATATGGTTTATTTCATTTAATCTTCTCAACAACCCTGTGAAGGTAACCGATAAGGTACACATTTTATACATTTAAACGTTGAGCACTAAAAACGTTAAATGAACTGCAAAAGTTCACATGACTAGAAAACGATGGGGATAGGACTTGAATTCTGATATGACTCCAAATCTCATCCACATACCTATTTACAATCAATTTGAATATTAACCAATAACTTGCTAAGGAACAGGACTGAGAGGAAGAAGCTGAGAAAGATCCAGGGTTTCTAGTTCAGTGAAATTGTTGGGATCATCATAATCTAGCTTTCAGGAAAAGGAACACAGAAAGAAAAGTTGACTTGAGTGGGAGTTCTGTATCCTAGGAGGGATAACCTGTTAATAGGTGAGTTTGTGTCTAAAACTCAAAAGACAGTTATAGGAAGATAGATGTGGGACTTAATTAATATAGGTGGTGGGTAAAGAAATGAGCGTACATGACCTTTTCTGGAAAAGCATAGAAGAATGAAGGTCAACACTGTGAACCCCAAGAGCATACTTCAGTTTTGCTAACCTGGTCGTGAACAATGTGCTATAATTCCTAATTCTAGGACTGGTAAAAAGCCGGGTAAAAGAGAGAACTGAGGGTGCTCTGTTTCCTCCTACTTTGTCTATTGCCTGGTCTCTGAGGTACAGCAGTTATGAGATGTAAGAACTGCAGATAAGCAGTTGATTGGCCTCAATGATGCTAAACTGCCTTCATGAAGAGCTTGTTTACTAATCACTGGTTTCATGAACTAACTTAGCAGGTTGTTTCAGTGTATCAGAGGTGCATGCTCTGACTTCAGGGAGGCAATTGTGCTCCCATCCATTTTTAAACATTTACTATGTGCCAGGAGCTTTGTAATGAACTGGGGGGACAAATACAAATGATACACACTCTTAAGATTTAAAGTAGTTTACAGTCAATTTGGGGATACAAATAAATGAACAGCTAACTCATTACATTACAGTTCATCATGTACATTTGGAGATTTGTACAAGATGCACTGGACGTGCAAAGACAGGATCCTTGGCTTGCCTGAAGAAATTAGGAAAGACTTCTCAGGGAAGGTAGTTTTTTAACTGAAATGTGAAGAAGGAGGCGCTTTCCAGATGGTTGACGGACATACATGGCTGTTTTTCAAAAACTTGCTATTGTAGAAATGGGTAGAAAGCCACTCGATTCTGTACAAATAAACAGTGCACATTTGGGTTTTTAAAAAATTGAAACCCCATCAGATGTTGCATATAAAACTATTTGTATTCATTTATAATCTCATGCCATGTGGTGGTCAGCTCCCTATGCTTCTGAAGTACATCTAGTCTACTGAGGATATTAAAGGCTCATATAGGAAGTATGTGCACTTAGTTAACATTTCTGGGATGTAGGGAGGAATGTGCAAAGAGGGTAGAGAAAACAAAGAAACAGAAGAAGGGGGCAAGGAGGAAGAGCTATAAGAGAGGAAAAAAAGAAAAAGGCGGGGAAGCAGATGAAGTAGAAGAGGAAGAGAAAGAAAAGCCCTCTCAGTCCAGGAAAACGTTATTTCACATCTGGCTTCCTTGATGAAACTGGGTATAAAGATTCATGGGGATCCATCAGCCCAGAGGGGAGGCACAGCACCAAGTCTTCATGTCAAAGAACCGGTGGGCTACACCCTCTCGGATCTGCTTAGTCTTCACACCATAGACAATGGGGTTGAGCATTGGTGGCACCACTACATAAAGATTGGCCAGCAGGATGTGGACCTGCCGAGGAATGTTACGCCCAAAGCGGTGGGTCAATAAGGTAAAGAAGGATGGAACATAAAACATGAGGATGACACAGAGGTGGGAGCCACAAGTGCTGAGGGCCTTGTGCCGAGCATCTCGGGAGGGCAAACGAAACACTGCTTGGAGGATCAGCGAGTAAGACACAGCAATGAGGATCACATCCAAGATGACCATAACAATGGGCACCGAGAAGCCATACCAGATGTTAACAGTGATGTCAGCACAGGCTAAGCGAGCCACTCCAATATGCTCACAGTAGGAATGGGGGATGATGTTGGTTCGGCAGAAGGGCAGTCGCTTCAGCAAGAAGATCACTGGAAAGATGATGCAGAAGCTTCGGGTAACAATGGCAAGAGCAATCCTTCCCACAATAGGCCAAGTTAGCACTGCTGTATATCTCAGGGGGGCACAAATGGCCACAAAGCGGTCAAAGGCCATGGCTAACAGGATAGCTGACTCCCCTACAAACATCACATGGACAAAGAAGACTTGAGTGACACATGCATCAAAGGCAATGTCATGGGCATGGAACCAAAAGATGGCTAGGGCCTTGGGCACGGTAGTGGTGGATAGCAGGATGTCTGTGATGGCCAGCATAGAAAGGAAGAAATACATGGGTCCATGAAGGTTATGTTCTGTGACAATAACCACTATCAGGATACTGTTCCCCAGGACTGCAGTAATATACATGAGGCAAAAGGGAATTGACAGCCAAATGTGATAAGCCTCCAACCCAGGGATGCCTAGAAGGACAAAAACTGCAGGGTGGAAGATGGTAAGGTTAGTGTGAGTCATGGTGCACTTTATGGTCCTCTTGATAATGACTTAGAAGCTGGTGAGTCGGCTGAAAGTGATAGAAACAGAAAGCACTCCTGAGTATGTGCAGAGGTCACAAAAGAGCATGGATTGCTAAATTGCTGGACTCTCCAGGGAAAAGTTAACCCAGAAAATGCTCACGTGGGTGCAGGAATGGCTGCTGGCCCTTGGTGCTCCATTTGCATATAGATCTTCTGTGGCAATAATGCTTCAAGAACCAATAGAAGCTGCACCTGCCTCAAATCACCCTGACCCCAGAATTTGGCCCCCCTACCTTTCTGACCATACTCTTCCATTTCCATACAAGCAGCATCTGCCCCCTACTTGTGCTATACTTTTCCCTTCCCCCAAGATCTTGCTCTTTCTGTGTTTACTTGAGTTTCCCTCCCCTTCCATATCTGCTTACCCACATTTTAACCTTAAAATACCTCCTTAAGGGCCAGGTTCACTGGCTCAGCCTGTAATCCCAGCACTTTGGGAGGCCAAGGTGAGTGGATTGCCTGAGGTCGTGGGTTCGAGACCTGCCTGGGCAACTTGGCAAGACCTCATCTCTACAATAAATAAAAAATTAGCCAGGTGTGGTAGTGCACACCTGTAGTTCCAACTACTTGGAAGGCTGAGGTGGAAGGATCGCTGGAGCCCAGCAGGTCGAGGCTGCGGTAGCTGGGAGCATGCCACTGCACTCCAGTCTGGGCAACAGAGTGAGATTCCAATTCAAAAAATAAATAAATACCTCCTTAAGACACATCACTTTGTAATGACCTGTGTTCATAACAATATATCTCCTTCCTGAAAACCTGTTAGCTAAACTATGTTTTAACTTGATTATATGTAATCATATTAAACTTATCTGGCTATTGCCTTGAACATTTCATAGGACACTTGTACTTGTGGCTCTCTTCGCATGAAAGTACAGTGCCAAGTAGAAATCCAGAAGAAGACTAATGGATATATTTCTCCACTCTGATGCAGATTCACATTTTCCCTATAGGCAGTGAACAGTGGGACAGCCAATAAAACTGAGAGGGGCCATTTTCATCACCTGTTCCTCATAAACTTCTCATATCCCTTCCCAAACAGTTCCATATAGGACGTTCTTAACTGTGTCTTCATCTTCTTTATAGAAACTGTTCTGAGTCATGCACATCAATATATCCCACCCCCACGAACTCCAACAATACAGCCCCCCTTCCCACCCCATGGTCCCCTAACCCTCAGAAAATCTAGTTTCCCTGCTGATATAAAGGGTAAAGTATAGAGCACTCCTTGTCTTAGCTTATCACCATTCTGGTGATACTTGTTTCCTTCTGGAGTTCTGAACTATCTTTCAGCTATTAGGAATAAGGAATGAGTGATTAAGAACCCAGAAGAGGACATGAAGAAAAAGGACCTTGGAGACAGTAAGGAGAGAGAATTGAAAGTATAAAGGTACCAAATAAATACTAAACAGATCTTCTGATAATGGTATTCAGAGGCCCCAAAGAAGAAGATGTACAAAGGAGTGAAATTCTCGATTTATGAGAGTATCCCCTGCCTCTATGCAAATACACTTGCTCAAAGCATGATGGGATATGGGAGGGAGAACTGGGACCCCAGGTGAGTACAAAGGAGAGAACAGGGCCAGATTTAGGCAAGTGAAGGCCCCAGGCAAGCTAATAATTTGACATTCTCCAAGCCAGTTGTATACTTCAAATATTTGTTCAACTTCAACTTAGAGGAGAGGCTGAGTTTTGCTGAGATAAGCACAAAGAGGTGGAGGCATTGGTAGTATTGCTCTGCCTCTGTTTTAAAGTGTTGGCCTCAAATTCATATAAACAAAAGCCCCATCAGAAAACAAATTCATTTTCCCTAGAAGAAATTTTATTGGACATTTATTTTCTCACCATTTTCCCAACTCCTCCAGGTTTTAACATATCCCTTCTCAATAAAACAGTAAGACACCTAATATAAGCCCTCATAAAAACAATCCCTTCTCTCTGCTTACAATTCTGATGATGTTTTATCATCCCACGAGTGAAATGCCAAAGCAGCATGTGGAGATGGGCAGTGAGGCCTAATGGTTGTTGATGACATTCTGGAAAAGAGAAAAGAATGACTTTCATTTCATTCAGTGACTTCTGGGGGCTCCATCAAAGCCCTGCAGTTTTTTTGTCAAGCATCTTTGGAGAGGTTTAGACTTGTTCAGGAAGGAGTTAGGGGTGAGCAGAAAGAAAACTCATAGGGGCAATAAGGTACATCCAAAGTCTCACATAAAGTGCAAAAATACCTCCCAGAGGTCTAAGAGAATATCCAGCTGATTGGGGTGGGGGGAGCCAGAATGGTAGAGAAGGAGCAAGGAGCCATGCTTAATGAGAAAAAACAAAATGAAGAAGAGGAAGACATTAAATTCTGGAGCCAAACTTCCTGAGTTCATTTCCCACTTCTTCCCTGACTGACTAGATAATCTAGGCAAGTCACTTTACTTCTGCATGCCTCAGTTTTTCATTTGTAAGATGTGGATAACAACAAACTTCATGAGGTAATTGTGAGGATTAAATAAGTTAATCTATATAAAATGCTCAGATGTAGACTATTATTCTTCTTTTTATTGTCATTACTAATAATAAACCTGTTTGGCTGCCTTGCTATTATATTTTTTCCAACAGACAAAATGCCTTAATGAATATTTAGCAACATTAAAGTCTTATTCTTCATCCAAATAAGACCAAAGGAAACTCCTTTCCCAGAAAGAAAGAAGAAGAAAAGGGATAAATGAAGTGCCCAAAAAGAGGAAAATTCCCTGAGATCAGATATCTCAGATGGTCCTAGTGTCTCAAAACCCAGACCTGAGGGCTTTGATGATGCACTAGGCATGCCCAACAGTGATAGACTTAGCTTGGGTCAGAACTATCTGGTAGACTTCCTTCAAAATGCTCTGAAAAACACCCATGTCTCAACACAAAGAAATTATCTCCATCATTTCCAGAAGCTTCAGGGACAGGACAGAGTAATGAGAGTAAACTTCAGCTCTAGAATCAAGGAATGTTGGGGGAGTGGGAATCTTAGAGAAGATTTGGTCCAGGCTAAGAAGAAATGGAACCACTTCTTCCCTGCAGCATCTGGCCAGACTCTAATAAACTCTAATAACCTCATCCTGGCCACATGCACTTAAAGCCAGCATGCAAAATGTTTTTGTAATCTAAAGCCAGTGTTATCTGTGCTGCAGATGCACTGAGCTTCCCTGAAATCACTGGCAAACCCTTAATGGTGACTCTTTTTTAAAAATTAATTTTAACTGACAAAAAAGTATATATTTATGGTATACAACATGGTATTTGGATATTTGTATACATTGTGGAATGGCTAAATTAATCTAATAAACAAGCTCATTTCCTCACATTCTTACCATTTTTGTAGCTAAAACACTTAAAATCTACTCCCTTAGCAATTTTCAAGTATACAATATACTGTTATTAACTATAGTCACCATGATGTATATTCTCCTCACACTGTACTGTTATGCTGCAATCTCTCTCTCATCTTTTGTCTCATTGACTCCTTGTCTTTCTCCCACATACCTATTTCCACTCTCCCAACTTCAGAATTTGTCCTTTACAGATTCTCCTACAGACACACACACAAACACTCCTGTCAATCCCTCCCTCTGCCATCACGAATGCTCTTAAACTCACCTACTACATCACAACATCAGCTGAAGAACTAAGAAAATGGTAGGGAAGAGCTGAAAAAAAAAAAAACCACTTTGCTTGTTCTGAGAGAAAAGGAATGAGAAGAAAGGAGAAGGCTGGAGGTTGTTCATGTTAACATAAGGAGTTGTCACTATCCCTGCCCTGTATAGAACCCTTATATCTAGAGAGTGAGAAGCCATATGCTTCCTTCTTCTGGAGGGAGGTGTCAGAGTCACCCCTGGGATCATTGAGCATGAGGTCAACAATCCAAAGGAGAAATGAAAATACTTCCCCTAGTGACAAGAGGGAGCACTAGCTTTAGGGATAATTAGTAGCTCCAGGCAAAAAGCACATAAGATTTTTGAAAACATAGCATAGAGCAGCAACAAAAATCTCAGTAATAAACTAGCATAATAACAGCTAAACATTTGTTGAGCCCTTACTACATCCCTGTGGTAAGTTTTTAACATAAATTATCTCACTTAATTAACACAACTCAGTGAGAAATGGCACTATTATGATATCCATTTTGCAGCTGAGATAAGACTAAGTAGCTAATAAGGAGAGAAGACAAATCCCTCAGGTGAACGTGTCAAAGTGTTCAGACTCAGTCTAGAAACACTGGTTAATTCCTCAGAAACTATGAACTAATAATTTTGGAGAGATAATTTTAAAATGACCCTGCAGGGTCAATCACACAAGATAAGCTTAAGGAAAAAAAGGACAGAATAAGTGAATGATTGATTAAAATTTTGCACAATTAAAAGCAAAATTCATAAGCACATGAAAAGATGCTAAACATCACTAATTATCAGAGAAATTATTAAAAATGAAAAAAGGCTGGATATGGTGGCTAAAGCCTATAATCTCAGCACTTTGGAAGGCCGAAGTGAGAGGATTGCCTGAGCTCATGGGTTCAAGACAAGCCTGGGCAACTTGACGAGACCTCATTTCTACAATAAATAAAAAAAATTAACCGGGTGTGGTAGCATGTGCCTGTAGATCTGGCCACTTGAAAGGCTGAGGCAGAAGTATCGCCTGAGCCCAGTGGGTCGACGCTGGTGTGTCCGTGAGCATGCCACTGCACTCTAGCCTGGGTGACAGAGTGAGACTCCAACTCAAAAAAAAAAGAAGAAAGAAAAACAGAATTAACAAATTTTTCTCAAGATATTCAGAAACTGGAGCCCTGTGCATCATTAGTAGAATGTAAAATGATACAATCACTATGGAAAATAGTACGATGGTTCCTCAAAAAAATTAAAAGTAAAATTACCATATAATACAATAAGTCTATTTCTTGGTATATACCTAAAAGAAACGAAAGTCAAGTCTTGAAGAGATATTTGCACAACCATGTTCACAGCAATATTCACAATAGACAAAACA